AAGTTACCAATGTGTTTTCCCTGCCTTCCCAAAAAACTGTACTCAGACCAACGTTCTTCAAAAACTCCATAAATAGGTCAAAAACACTGGGTGAACAGAGACGTAGTAAAGTTTGCTGATAACAAAAATAATCGTAACTACTGCAGAGTTGTAAAGCAAGTTGTCCGTGAAATTGGCAATAAAACAGCAGATAAAATTTGGTGTAAATAAATACAAAAAGAAACGCTAAAAGATAACTCAATGTCATAACAATGTGGTAACTACTGTACAATGTAAGAAAAACTATCTTATATTTTTCTACACAGTTTTTGAAACAATATCACTTCAGAGCCCAGCAACAGTCAAAAAATGCAAGACAGTAATGAGTAACAAAGGAATAGAGAATGAAAGTATCATTATGTCATGCAGAAATTGTTGGTATACCCTCACCTTGACTAGTGCATGCAGCCATAATCACCCTAACTCTTAAGTTACACAGAAGAAGCAGAAAGATTCAGAGAACAGCCCCAAGAACTAACCACAGGTTAGGACAAGCTACTATACAAGACGACACCAATAGATTACGACTCTTCAATTTGGTTGAGAAAAGGAGAGACATACACGTGGCATGTAAATAAAGATGTTTGTGAAAAAGGAAATAAAATTATGAAGTACATCAGTAACAACCAATCATTACTATTCAGAACACAGGAACATGGTGGAAATCAGTTAAATCACTTAAGACAAAAACATCCATATTTTTGCCACAAAACACTTGTAATTATTGCCAAAACTTATCAAAGTCAGAAAAATTCACAACTCACAGAGAACAAGTCCACCAATGGCTATAAGAACAACGTCCAAAAGGTCAACTCTGCCCAGGAGATCTCCTAAACCCGTAAGTGCTGGGCTTTGCTGGGAGAGTATGACACTATAGGCAGCAAAATATTTGTCCTATACTTGCACTCCTTCCTTCAGCATCATTGCTGGACATAACCAGACCATCAATACTGACCTGCATCTTCGGCAGGAGTTGGGAAAGGAAGATCTTTAGCCTTTCTTCCACCATCTTATTTAATTAGCCTTTAATACATATATACTTATCTATTGCCAAATTCCAATTCTATTTATTTGAAAATTGCTTACCTTCGTGTGCCTTTGGAAATTCCAGCCAATACTGTACTGGGCCAACAGTTTAAAATTCTTAAATAATTTGAGCACTGCATTGTGATCTTTGCAGGCAAATTCCAGTAGCGGGCCACACAGAGATTTAAAAACAACAAAGAAACAAAAAAAACCCCAAACACACCACACAAGAGAAAAAGAGTAAGCAGTACCTCTTGAGGTTTCAACTTTTCTATGTCTGTGGAGAGGTCTGTGCTTTTTCCATGAAGACTGCCATTTTCCTGTAAACAGGCAAGCAGTAAGAACAATTAGGACAAGAATAACATTCTATTTTGAAATTACGGGGAAAAAGCACTGGATTTTGAAGTTAAAGTTGAATACGTAGGACAATTATAATTTATTTAAACTCTGTATGTTAATCACCACAAGGAATAACCTAGGAATGTAAAAGGCTAAGTGAAACATTTGCCCAGCCTCTTGAGAAACTCTGAGCTACAGTCTTACGATAGAGACCCACATACTCCTTTTAGCTCTTCCTCAGAGCGATCTGATCTGGCAGCCTATGAAGTAGTAGTCAGAACTTCTCAATTCCGAACCACTAGTATAACGTGTCTCATTAGCTCAAGGAAAACCAAAAAAAAAAAGACCGTACATCTTACCCAAAATTTATGCATGCAAACTTCATTTAGACTGGTAAATGAAGTCCAGTGCTTTTCCAGCAATTTCAATGCAGAAGAGAACTTCCTTTGTTCTACTTTTTTTTTCAGAAGAACATGGCCATGGGATGAATTAATTTGTGCCTCTTAACCATTACTAATTCTATCTACAGACAATATATATTTCTAACATTCATCACTTTTTTTTGGAAAAACATGAGAACAAAGTTTTCCTGTAAAAGGAATTCAGTTTTCTTTAAAAGAAAACTGTTGTCATTTCAATGACATCCCAGACAACCATTCTTTATTGCTTCACGCAAGGCCTCTATAGAAAGCTGGTTTTTCCCCGCCTCCCACTATCAAACTTCTTAGGTGTATTGAAGAACGTAGATTTTTGCCAGGTCATCAGCCAAACCCTCTGAATTCCTTTGGATAGCCACTTCACGTCGATTCTGCATAATATCTACCCCGACGCTGTGGGACAGGCCTTGCTTACTCCTCAGCACATGAAGATACTACGTAAAACCAAGGAGATGCATGGGTTTTGTAATCTTTCAAAGCCTAGTACCAGAGGCTGATGTCTCCTGAGACAGCCGAACCACACGGGGATCTCAGGAAAACCTACACCTACCAGCATCCACCACCTGGTCAGTGATCCCATCAGGAGCTGCTGCAGTACTGATGCTCTGGGACTGCGGAGTCAACAGCTCGCAGTTAACCTGACCCCATGGAGAAATTTCATGAGCAGCCTAATGTCATGTTCTATGCTAACATCAGACTTGCTCTTAAATTTCTATCATTTAGCAGGTTTTCAAAAAAGAAAGTTAGTGTAGGAAGACATTTGTAGAAATATTCAACTTACAATAATGTTTCACTAGAATTTAGGAATATTGGGTGTTTTTTTCCCCTCGTGATTTCTGCTGCCTTTAGACAAAAAAAATCCCCTATCAAAGAAAAGAAAACTTTACCACCTCAACACTACAGGAACAAATGTTTTGGTTTTTGTTTTTAAGGAGAAGGCAAAGCATACAAAACACTGTGTTGGGAGACAGAGAGAAGAGGTGAATCTGATTATTTCAATTTCAGTTTATAAATCAGGAGAGTTTGTATACAAGTATTCAGTCTTCTCCTGTTCTACATTTTATGCTGATGCACACTATGCCATACTACAAAATCATTAAATACAGCCACAAATACAAGTAGAGAAATAAATCTACAGCATTGACTACCAATTCTCTAACTAAACACTTTATAACGTATTTAGGTTGAATTAAGAAAGATGTATTAAAACAGTATGCTCCAGTTTAAACAAAAATGAACATATCTTTAAAAAAAAAAACAACAAAAAAAATCATCCACAAGTAGTAAATAACTGGTGCTTCAGAATGAACTCTCAGTATCATCTCAAATTACTAGCATGCAAGAGAAAAAAATCCTCTGCACTTAGCCAGCAGAGGAAGAAACACTTGAATAACATTCTGGGGATAGATTCCATCAACTCTTAGCAATATATTCGGTTTGGCTAGAGTCCAACTCCCTTTAACTAAAACTGTCCTAATAGAAATTATGATTGTTTGCTGGGAGGATAAATTTCTTTTTTTCTTTCTGTCTCACCCCCCCTTTTTTTTTTTTTCTTTTTAAATAGAAACTAGTTGTAAGTCCAAGTTACAATTGCTGGGGAGAGAGGGACACCTGACACATATAAGAATTTAACATCTCTTTTTCCTGAAGCCTTCCATAGGAATTGAGACAAACCTACATATACCTTTGCTTTACTTAATAATACACCCAAATAGCACCAACCTCTTCCTACGATTCTAACTTCTGGTATACCTCTGTTAGAGCATGAACATCTGCCTTTATTACCAACTTTAGGGTATAATGGTATAATTTATGAAGGGTTTGACTCTTGACTGGTGTTTAAAATTTCCTAGTCATGATCCTCAGTTACAATAAATATAAAAACAAACAAAACCAACCAACCCAAAAAGACCAATACACCAGGCACCCTGACTTTACATTACTGGAATGTTAGCTGGCTGATCCTCTAACATAAAAGAATATGTGATTAATATAACCACATAGCCGATGAACCACAAGCTCCAGTTAGGTCAGCTTAACTCATGATTGATTAAAATTGGTTAGCAACATCATAAATGAGTGTCAAAACACCAAACACCTAAAACAAGAACATGAGTTACTTAAAGCTGCGTAATAAGATTCCATTTCAAATGTAGAAAAGGCATCTAAAGGCTAGGCTTCATGCCTCAAATTATGCAGGTTGTTTTAAAAAAATGCCTAATTTCTATGTTGCACAGAAGTACTTCTGCAACCCATACAGTTCTTCTATCTTTTTGTTATAATTTATTTACCACAGATCAATGAAAAAATTAGGCCTTCGTGATAAATCTTTCTAATGCTCTCTTCCCAAGTCCAAGAGAGGTTTTAACGCTATCCAGTGAGCTGGACAAGACCTTGCAGCCTGCCCACTTCATTCCACAGCAAGAGAAAGCTGCAAAGGTGCAAGAGCCAACACAGCACTCTGGCTCAAGAGTACTGACAGCAAATTATTTAGATTAGGCCCTTCAGTGATGCTGTGTATTTCTAGCAATTAATTCATTAGATACTCAGCTCATTGGCTTTTTAGGGAGTATATATTCATACAAAGAAAAATGAGTAGATGAAAGGGAATGTGATTTATTAAGAGGAAAGCTTGCTTTTGACCATTTCGTTGGGTTTTAAAAAGGCAATGTTATTTTAGGATATTACATACTATCAAAAACCTTTAGTTCAGTAAGTAGGATGGATGAAGCTGCAATGGGAACAGGAGGAAGGTATTTAAAAAGAGAAGCCTCTCTCAAACATCGTATCACAGCACGTACTATAGCTGGCTAATGTTAATGAAGAGACAAGCGTTCCCTACACTTTGCCAATAAATATGCTCCTGAATAAGTAACATGACTTCTATTTTCATTTTCTGACCATAACGTAAATAAATCACACACTTATAATTCAAGTAGAGTTATGTACAGGTTTTTTTCATGAATTCTTAACCTATATATTTTTAGCCTTAGAAATCTCATCACTATTGCAGCATACCAAAGTCATTAAAGCCTCCAAAAGATGCTAACCTGTGTATTTAAAGGAGCTCACCCTTCAAAAACATTGCCAAATCATCTGCCGATTTTCACTGTACATTCCCATAAACTTTCACTATGAATTATTATGTGGGAACCTTACCCTTGAAGATTCATACGAAGGACTTGGCTGACCGCTTGTTCCCCAGGATGTGGCACCTGTTCGCTCATCCATACCTAGCAATAAAAAGAAAAATACAGGCCTGTAAGAAAAGACAGCAAAAGCATAATGTTCTCTGATGCAACCTGAAAGCAAATTCATCTGCTTCCATATGCTTAAAGCAGGATTTCTAAAAACAAAACTTAAGATGAACAGTTTCCGTGTTAATGAAGCTAGCTACAAAGCAACCTACTCATTTAGACACCTGCAGCTGCTGAAAACAGGAGCATAAAAAGTCAAGAAGATTTGCCAGTCTGCAGTGTCTGTCCTACCCAATCCATCAGAAATTAGCATGAGTAACAAAACAAGCACAACGATGTTATCCAGGCTTTTTGCACAGCCTGATTTATCCTGCATCTTAAGCACTGAATATTACAGCACATACTGTGAAACGTATACTTGTTATCTACCCTTTGCGCTCATGTCTTGCTTAAGTATTGTAAATTGTGTGAAATGATTTCCCCTACCCAGTCTTTACATGACATGCAAGATATTTTAGCATAAGGGGGGAAAAAGGCAAGACAGACTGGTTCTATTTCAATGGCTTAAAAAAAACCCACCCCACTGACACTTCTGGTGTCTGCCCTGCTAAAAGAGGAATCTTTAACTCTGTAACGGTTCTTTTAGAATCAGTTCCCTTTATGCAAATCCAGGTTACAGCTCAAAAGAGAAAGGGGAAGGAAAAAAGGAGGAGATCTTTAAACTCAGTATCAGAGCATATATCCCCTGTATTATCTAGCCAACAATTAGAAATATTGTTGCCAACACCTTCTCCAATTACTTTCCATTCAAAGTTAATTGGTCAAGCCACCTTTAAACCACATTCCAAAACAACTAATTGCACAAGTACCTGAATTCCTATAACCAATTCATTTATATAGGATAAGGTTACTATCCTAGTAATTGGGTTCCTGATTATCTGTATCACAACGTGGGATTTTTTTAGCAGGTGGAACAATTCTGTCCTAAATTGCAGACTTCCATGCACTTTGTCCTACAAAACACAACTCATTAGCTCCCTGTCACCCAAACTTCTCTCATAGAGTTTTGATATAGAGCATAAATTCTTTATGTGACATATAGTATAAACTATTTATGAAGCTTTATAAGTCATAATTTATAAATACAAACTGTCACAATTTATAAATAAGAGCTGAGTGCAAGCTACTCCATACAACCATCCCTAAACCCTAACTTAATATTGCAAATATAAAATTTTCATGCATATTGCTCAGACCGGCCATACTACAGAATAAAATGCAAGGAAATACTGTAAGCAACTACAACGGAGTAACAGTATTCAAATCATGATTTCATGTTTTATGAAGCTACAAAATACTGGTTTGACAAAGACAGTGTGCAGAAGGCACGTTAAACTGAAAGTGCAGTACAATCACCCAGATAAACTGTAGACACCTTTTGTGTACTGCAGGAAAGATCCTCAAGGCTGGAGAACGCTCTGAAAATTCCAACCCACCACCACATTGAGCCAGCAGCTTGTGGAAGTTTGCTGCGTTCTGCAGCTGACGGCATTGTTGTTGTTTCCTTGTAACTGATCCAGGAGCTGAGTAAAAAGTCGTGGCTGGCACTGACAAAGGCAAAAGTAATCTTTTGGCACAATTGACTCTTTTCTGCCAGGAACAACAGCACTAGTAATCCAGTGATTATCATAACAACTCTTCCATTGCTTTAGTTTCAAAAGAAAGGGGGGCTGAGGGAGAGCAGGACTTTGTCTTACTGCAAGACAAAGTCTAAGACACAGTACATTATATCAACCCATTTAGGAAATATGTCAGTAGATCACGGTTATGCATAGAGTGTTTGGATGCATGACCCCTCATCAGTAAAACATGTTACTCATTTCAAAATTTGAGTCAGTGGGACATAAGGGCTCATGTTAAGGTTCTGCTAAATCAGCACATGTATGGCTAAAAATTCTCGTATTTTAATTCTACCACTTGAATTATGCAAATAAATTGTTTAAAGAAACCACTCTAAAAGAAATTGTGATAGCTTAAGATGAAGAGGAAGACTAATTTCTAAACGGTTCCCAGAATTCTTTCTTCTAAAAAAAGCCCAGAACAGTTAGCTAGAGTAGCCAGGAGTATCAACACGCTTCCTTTTTTCTGCCAGGTGCCTTTTTCCTTTTTCATGCAGCACCTTTTTCTTTGCTTACAAGCTCAAAACAGGCTGTCATCTAGACCTACCGTTTATTCGGAACTCATGCCTGAGGCACAGGCATTCACACTTCAGAAGCTCCTTGAAGGCTACAAGGAAGAACTTCATATGCTGCAGACAGACCCTGGCACTCTGACTTACTGCTGCTGGACATCTGGATTTGACTTGGCCCGACACCCCTGCTGCCCTCGGTCCCCACCAACACTGCACACGCTAAATGAGGGAGAACCGGCTGGCTAGCAACGCTCACCCAGCAAATTTGCCACGTGTCTACACTGGTGTTCAACAAATCTGCTCTGGTTTGTACACTGGTGGTTTTTCCACCCATGACAGATGAAAACCCACCAAATGCTGCAAGAGACAAAGACCCAGACAGACTCCAGCAGGCTGGGCACAACCAACCAACTTTAATACAGCCCAAGGTAACTCTATGTGAGTGAGCCAGGAGCATAGATGGGAGGAGAGCCTGAAGTGGGGAACAACACATAGGAAGAAAGTACACAGCATCATCTGTGGTGATAAATTCAATAAAGTCTCAAAGCTAAAGTGTCATCCAAAGGCTTCAGGTGTTCTCCTGGGAAACACAAAACAGAATGGAGGAAATAGGGGGATCACCACCTCCATCACCTCCCTTCCACAAGGAAACGAGGTGTCCAATTCCAGTACCCATGAATTCATCACGGGTGTTAAAGGGCGCAGGAAAAGCTGTGACAGTTAGCACAGCACTAAAAAACACACTGCACAGGGAAAGGCTGCAGTATCTCAATCTGTTTAAGCAATGCAAAAGAGGGGGAAATTCAACAACTGCATGTTAAAAAGGTCTAGTAACACAGACACGTGCAGTCAGGCAGACTGAAGTATAATGAGGTTCTACCCCCACTGCCTTTTTTTAGTAGGCATTGAGGATGGAAAGTAATTGAAATGACTCATGAGTTGATTTCATAGTTCTCACTCAAAATCCACTACTTCTATAGTGGATAGCGGATACGCTGCAGTTTAGCTAGGAAGTAATTGATAAATTTGATCCTTGTTCGCGCAGATGGAGCTAGCAGCCTGTGGCTGGTGTGGCTCCCACAGCAACCCCCAGGCACTCCCCACCGCTGTCCCGGGCAGCCCTGGCCCTCCCCCGCCACCCAGACAGGGCATGGCACACAACTGGGACCCACCACGCCACAGGAAAGGCTGGGGGTCCTCACCAGCCTCGGGAAGGTCAGGCCAAGCAGGCAGGAGGACACTTTCTGCCTTTATGCACTGAATTCTAAAAATGTTTTTCTTAATGGCACTTTTAAGATGGTGCTGTGAGCATTTCAAGGTCTTCTGGAAGAAAAGCTGAAGAAACCTCTTGCCTCACTACTTCAACTCATTTATTCATTCTGAAGAAACAGGTCCAAACATCCATCTAATAAAAAAATTGGATCTTAAAAATCAAGCTGAAATGAAAATTGTTGTTCTTGTTGGTATAAGACAAAGACGACCATATTTAAAACTTATTTCAAGACACACAGGCTCTAATGTTCGTGTAAACAAGATAATATACTTTATAGGGTTACCATCTGCTATGATGTTGATCAAATAAATGATTTGACAAAAAAAAGAAAAAAATCACATTGCAGATTGTTATACTAGGTACTCAAGGTATGAGTTTCTATCTTTTATAGCTTCTTTATCTGATTTTGTTTCAGTAATGATATTCCTTCAGATAAGATTCAACAACTGAAATCAATTGCAAAAAAACCTAGAGCAAAACCCATAACAGCATTGACTGTATTTTGCATCTTAGACATCCAAACAAATCAATCTACCATTAGACCCTATATTACAAAGGTCTATTGTGAAGTATGACACAATTTATTACCTAAAATTATATTTCAGGTCTAGACTTTCTAGTAAGAGGACACAATAAGAAATATTATTTGATGGAGAAATACTATCACAATTAAAAATTTTAAATTTCAATAGGTTAAGACTAGTTCTCAGCCTCTTCTTGTTGATTCCAAACAGAAACTATTTCTCATTTTATAGTAGAGTTAATATTTTTAAGAACGTAATAAAATCATTTATATTCTAACAAAGAACCTGAAATTTGCAAGTCAGATAAACAACTAAAGGCACGGTATAGTTCCACACATTTATTACTGGGGGAGTGGGGGGAAAAGACTCAAAACCAAAAGCAGTTTTGACAATAGATGTCATGCGGTGGGCTTAAAATATACAAAGCTAAGGGCATTAATCAAATTGAGAAGAGAAATGAAACCCAGGCAACCTATCAACAGTCTAACCACTGAAGTGCCATTGGGATAAATTCAGATGCAACTTTATAATTAGATAGAAGACAAACCACTTTCATTTCAAACTACATAAATAGAGGGCCTTCTCTGCACCCACCCTCCGCCCCCATAGGAAAGGCAAGGGGAAGTAGTTCAAGCACGGAAAAAGAAAGAAAAAAAATAAATCATTAGAAATGTCAAATCTCAATCCACAGTGTTTCTTGGAGAACGTACCAATTGCCTTACAGCACACGGATACCAAGTTCCCACCATCCCCCTGGATCAAAAAGGAGAGTGTTGTCCCCCGCCAGGTAACAGAATTGCTTATTAGAGGCACCAGTGAGAGAAGCAGAGCACTATCCCCTTTTGCTCTGCAGAAGATTAATGGAAGTGCTACAGATACGGCACAGAAACACTATCTTGAGTCAGAGTGGTCTGGAACAAACTCTGGACTCCACAATTCCTTCGGGAAACTTCCCAAGATAATTTTTTTAAATTGCCTGATGCTGCTCACTCTACTCCTGGTACTGAACCACCAAGTCACAGATTGAAGAGTTAACTCATCGTGTGGT